GGTAAATTGCTTGACATGCAAGTGTGGGGACCTGAGTTCAACTATGTCCAAAGCCAGATGCAGTGGCACATACGTATAAGCCCAGCCCTGGGTAGGCGTAACAGGAGGATCGCTGGACCAACCAACTGAGCTAGCATCGCCTAATTATCAAGCCACCCGCTCCCACCTGGTCCCAGTGAGAAAACCTGACGTGGACTGGGGCTGGAGAGATGGAGAGGCAGAGGTAAGCAGAAGTTGCCGCTCTTAGACAGAACAGAAGCTAGGTTTGGTTCCCAGCACCACAGCAGGTGGCTCACATCTGCCTGTAACTTGAGTCCGCTGGGATCCAATGCCCTCTGCCTCCACCAGCATCTGAGTCCACATGGTACATATAACTTATGTGGGCTCGTGTGCATATGCATAAATAAAAATGAATACGCACCTCCTTAAAACCAACACACTCAAAGGAATGACAGCTGCAGCCCCTGAGACCAATCTCTGGCTTCCGCTTATGAATGTGCATCCTCTCGTGCATACATTTGCACACTCATGGACGGACACACACACACACACACACTGCATAGATGAGCTAGCCCTCCACCCAGCTGCCCATGGTGACCACATGTTTCCTTATGAAGACCTCTGCCAGCAGACGCTGGAGACCGCTTTGCGCCAGGGTAGGGTTCGTGGCAGACGGCAGACAAGATTCTTGAGGTTCTTGGTCCTATGCGCGCTTCTTATCTTCCGCATCCAACTTGCTCCTTTGGGCTCAGCAGTGAGTGATTCCCTCACAGCCTCCCTGTGGCCTCACACAGTGTAGGTCAGGTTGTGGGGTTCCATCCTGAGGTCTTCGTTCTAAGCATTGGTGGCAACCAGGAGGCACATGGCTCTATCTGGGATCTGGAGCAGACACTCCCAAGACCTCCTGAGGGAAAGGCAGGGCCACCACCATCTTGTACCAAGCAGAAGAATTTTAGACATGGAGGAAGCTATACTCAAAGCTACGGGTGAATCAGACTCCCTTCTCTGCATCCAGAAGCGATCCTGGAACTCACCCGCCTTGAACAGCCTCCTGTGGAGTTCAGGCGGTGCTGAGTCGCACCTCCTACACCCAAGCTCAGAGCTCCTGGCCACCAGGTCTGTGACACCCTGATCCAGCATTGTCTTTGAATGGCAGCGGGAGGTCTTCAGCACCAACTAGTACCAATAGATTTGTGGCTCCACCAGCACCCCTTTAATGTCTCAATTCCCATGTCTACCCATGTTCTGTAAATTTAATTAGTGTTGAAAGCACCTTATTTGGCAAGATGATCAGTTTTTAACCTGGGTAAGCCACTTCCTTTATGACTATAAATTAGGCATGTGCTATCTTTTTCACGCATCACGGCTGTCCCCATAAACACTGGAGGCAGTTGCCGGGAGTCTCACTCCGCTACCTTTCCCATTACTGTTTTATCATCATCCTGGTAGGAGTGGGAAATTCATTCTGCTTTAATGACAAAAAGAAAGTGGCAACGAGGGGCTTGCTTAATGAGGAAACTACCTCATGGTCAGCATCTCCACCCATGCCTGTCCCTCGATGCCTAGGCAAACTCAGCTCCCCCTGGGGCCTGCTGTCCACAGCCTTGGTGAGGGACACCCATAGGCCTTTAAAGAGCTCCTTTTGTCTTAATGGCAAATGATTAGGAATCAAATATTTGCCACCAGCTGATTTCCACAGCAGAGAGAGAAGGTGAGTGGTCTCATTGTCGTCCATGGCCACGGGCTGGCACAGGTGTTTTCTTAACTATGACCTCCTCAGAGCTCAGTCTCTGGAAAGCCACCTGCAAGCTAATCACTGTGACCATTGTCCATGGAGCAATGGACAGCGGTGTTTAATAAAATCCAGCCTTTTAAAGAAGACTGCCACGTGTTAGAGATGATCTCTGAAATTCCCTTTCCTCTGCCTCTCCAAATCTCTGGTCCCCCTGACTGAAGAAGGACCCTCCAGGGATATGTCTGTCCTCCATGCCCCAACCTTCCACCTGCTTCCAGGGAAAGAGGGATCCCCCAGAGAATCACTGCATATGACCCCTGTCACCCTCCCCATGCCAACCTCTGACCTGGCACTGGGCCATTAGCACCAGATTACCCTTAAAGTTGTTCTTTCTTAAAACCTGCGTGTTCTGTGGCCGCAGAAGGACAATGGTCCCATACCTGTGGAGCCTCCTAAAGCTAGAGCGAGGGCACACATTCCCTGGAATATTGAGAGGGAGGAGCATGGGCTGGCTATAAGAATACCCCCAAGGGTAAATCAGAGCTAAGAGCAAAGGGGTCACAGCTGGAGAAGAAGCCCCACAGCTGGATCTGAGAAGCCAAAGACTTGAGCTGTTTCTTTCCAAAGTGGGCCATCAGTCAGTTCTGTTTTGCTTGCACAGGGAAGTTTATTGAAACAGCATCTCATGGTAAGGCTTCGCTTCCTTGCCCTGTCTTGGGAAAGAAACAAAAGCTGATCATTTCAGCACTGTGTTAGTTTTCCTCCAGCAGCCGCCAGCGCTTTCCGGAGTGGCCCATTTCCCAGCAACCCAGGAGAATCCTGCTAATCAAAACACACTTGGTAGCAAAGCAACCAGAAGCTCTGTGCATGGAGGCTTCGAGCCCGGGGCTCCTCTGCTACAAGCCTGCTCTCTGCGCCCCTCCCTTCCCACGGCCACTCCTCAGCCTCCACAGAAAAGCTGCTGGGTAGGAGGCTCCAGGGCGCTGAGGAGCCTTTGCAGTGAGGTGGGGACAGTCAGCCAAGCGAATAAAAGCGATTTCCACACCCCGCTCTGGCTCTGCACTTTCAGGCCGCAGAGATATGTTGACCTTCGAGTTTATTATGATGCAAGAAAAAAAAAGTCGATATTTCTTAACTCGCCAAGGTTAGGGGAATTTAAATGAGTTATTGAATCAAGTAGTTAATCTTCCCATAACTGATTTTTTTCCCCCTTTCAAATCTATGATGATGAAAAGCAGGCAACTTAACCCAAAATAGGAATAGAAGGATTCTTGGTTTTCCCCTCATACATGTTTGTCCTGGGGAGTAGAAGCTGGGCCCAAAGGCTCAGTGTTAACAGCCAGAGCCATTTTGTCTGCCAGAGTGTATGATAGATGGGCTTAGTTGCTTATGTGGTGTTTTGGTTTTGGATTTTGGTACATGGTCTTATGTAGTCCAGGCTAGTCTCAAACTCGTTTTGTAACCAAAGCCAGCCTTGAATTTCTCACCCTCCTGCTTCCGCCTCCCGGGATGTTGAGGTTGCAGCTGTGCGCCACCGTGACAAGCTCGGCAGACCGTCGTATCAGAGCCTAAAGCAAGCATATTCCCATAGCTGCGAACTCTGTATCCACATCGTAATTCTTTGAACTTTTGGTTCCTTTTTAAATCCCCAGCATGCCACATGTCGTCACTAATGCCGTGAGGCCATCCCCTAATTCCCTGAATGACTCTCGTACAGCGGAGTATTACTGTAAGCTAATACTAGGTCTAAGTTCTGGACACTACTGTGCCAAGATCCGTGTGTGTGTGTGTGTGTGTGTGTGTGTGTGTGTGTGTGTGTGTGTGTATGTGTGTGTGTGTGTATTGGATATCCAAACAGTGTGGCCACTGCCAATTCCAGTGTCTTGGGCTTCAGCTCCGAAGGTACTAATCATGCTGTAGAAGACTGTTCAGGGGGGGAGGATAAGGCTGGTGCTGGTGATATGGTCTCCCCGATGCCCTCCTCCTTACCACACTTGCTCTCTAGACTCAGCAGTGACTTCCTAAATCAAAGTAGCGTTCCTCAATCCCTCTGCTCAGCTCTCTTTCCTACAACTGTAGCTTTGCCTTGGACATTGGGCGGGAAAAAGGATCCTAGACTCCCATAGCTCCTGGCCTGGTTGTCTTACTTTTAAACAGCCGTGACATAAAACAGCATGGCCAAAGTGACTCACAGAAGAGTTTGTTGGGGGCTTACAACTCAGAGGGTGAGTCCATGGCCATCATGGCAGAAAGCATGGCAACAGGAAGGAAGGTAGGCATGGCACTAGAGCCTTAGCTGAGAGCTCACATTTGATCCACAGGCTCAAGGCAGAGAGAGAGAGACAGAGCTAATTTGGTACGGCATGAGCCCATCCCCAGTGACACTCCTCCTCCAACAAAGCCACACCTCCTGATCCTTCCCAAACAGTTCCACCAACTGGGGACCGAGCATTCAAATACATGAGCTTATGGGGACCATTCCCATTCAAGCTACCACCTTGATCTTATCTAGATCATGGCTTTGTCACAATCCATCTTCAACCAGAATGACCAGGTCAGAGAGAAGTAGAGTTACAACTTACTCATCTTCGGGACCTCTCAGAGACCTAGTACACAGCCTGGCTTCAATTCACCACCTAAGAAAGAAAAGATGGGCGTGATGGCCCATGTATGTAATACCAGCACTTGGGAGGTGGAGGCAGAAGGATCAGGAATTTGTAGCTTGTCTGGGTTATATGAGACACTGTCTCAAAATAAAGAAAAGAGTAAGAGGAGAAAGTGAAAGGCAGAGGAAGGAATGTTCTTGATGCAATTCTAGTCTGTGATTTCAGAGCGCAGGAGCAGTGCTTGCTAGCTCTGTCCTCTGGTCTCAGGCACCTCTTGGTGAGCACAGGACTGGGTGTTTTCATTGATCTCACTGACAGCAAGGAAGAGCAAGCCCACGAAAGCACAAGCCTTCCCCAGGGGCCTTCCCATGGGCTCAGGGATGAGCAGGTGCTGTGTCTGAGATGTTCAGAGCGAATCTCATAACAACACGAGCACCACACAGCAAGAGACCCCTTTTGATTCCTATAGCTGCTACTTGGAGGAATGGGGACTCTATGTACCCAGAGGCCCCCTCACCCCGCCTTGGCTCCCCTCAGCCTCACAAGAAGTTGAGGCCTCTATGTTCCTACTGTTTGTGTCCTGAAAGAGCAACATAGACTGTTTGCAACTCTGTTCTCCAGCCTTGAGCTAACCTTACTCTGTGTGTCTGTGTCCACAGGTCTTTCCAGCCCTGGACTGTCGCCCTCCTGTGGAAAGAAACTCTGCAGCCACAGGAGCAGGTGCTTGCTCAATAGGGCGACAGGGCAGCCTTCGTGCCGCTGTCAGGAGGTGTGCAGGGCCCGCTACGTGCCTGTGTGCGGCTCCGACGGCAGGCTCTATGGGAACCACTGTGAGCTTCGCCGCACAGCCTGCCTGCTGGGCAAGAGAATTGTCAGCGTACACAGCAAGGACTGCTTCCTCAAAGGTAGGGAGAGGGACCCTCGCCCTGCGCTTTAGAGTTCTGTGGTGGGTCTTGTGACTCTCTTTTGACCCCTGACTGAAGTGCTGGGTACACAGGTCATGGATATGGAGGAAGTAAAGAGAAAGATTGGTACATTAACCCAAAAGCAGCAGGGATGCTTTGGTGATGCCTCTTCAGTCTAAGTTCCACCTCCAGAGATCTCCACCCCTCCCCACTCTTGGAGAACAGGATCTAAGGAGGCCAAGCCAAACTCCCAACAGGTGAAGAGTCTAGTAGACACAGCGTATCCACTGGGCATGGAACAGGGTAGGACCCAAGTCTCTACAGGGTGCGTGTCCTTGCAAAGTGGCAGCAGAGACCACACGTGCCCCCTCTGAACACAGTTTCCGTGAGTCAGGAAGCCACATCGTACATATAAAATGACCAGCTGATACCGGCAGAGCAGTCCCCAGCCAGGGGGAAAACATCCCAGTGCCTTGCCTGCCCAGAGATGCTCTGGACAGAATTGCCAAAGAGGGCAGAACACCCCTATGGAGGCAGAGACCAAAGGACTCACCCTGCGCTGGGGTTGGGTGGGAAGAAAAGGGCTGGACAGTAAAAGCCTCGGGGAGGGATTCTGTTTGATGTATCAGTGTTTCCTCAGCACCCAGCACGGTACACCACAAAGATGCTCAGAGACTCACAGGTGCGTGCAGAGGCAAAGGCTAGAGGCTAGAATAACGTTCTGCTGCCGACGAGGCCTCAGCAAGTAGTGCGTGCTGTGGCCTGCAAAAAAAAAAAAAGAAAAAAATGCTTGTAAGCCTGAAGTAAAACACCCACACGTGCATTAAGATTCCTGTGCTATAGAAGCAGAACAAGGCAAGTGCACAGACCTACACTGACTGAGCTAGGGGAAACTAGAGCTGCCCTTGGATCCGGCGATGTCAGAGATCTGCTTTGGATACAGCCGGGCAGGAGGAGGTGTGTGTGTGTGTGTGTGTGTGTGTGTGTGTGTGTGTGTGTGTGTG